TAAAAGAGAACAGAGATAAGAAAAAACGCGTCACAGCCAACTGAATTTAAAAACGAATTTTTACAAAAGCAAAAGTGCACACAGTTATTTCCGGCAAGCAGTACTCGTTTCCTTCCTTTTTGAATCCTCGCTCAGCTAACTCACCACGCGCGATTTCACAGGAAACTGCGTTGTCCTATCAAAAGAAGAGAAAATGATTTTTAAAAAGTGACAAAGGAAATGAGAATTCGCGTTAGGTGATTAGCAAAATAGCGAGATTAAAATATAATTTCTAAATTACCGCAAAAAATAAATAATAATAAACAAATAAGTAAAAGCGAAATTATTAAGCACATGTACCACTAAACATAAACTATATATATTTAAACTATTGAATGCTAAAGTCATATTCGTAATAATGAATAAAAGAAAATGGTTAATAATATCGATTAACTGAATATTAAAACTAGCCTGTAATCAATAGCGACGTAGTTATACTCTGACAGTAATTATAGGGGTGATTCAAAGGTAGTTTATTAGCAGTTAGGGACGAACTTTATCGAGATCACTTTCTCTCTAAACTAACAATGGAAAAAAAAAGATAAAGTTATAACTTAATTATCTCTCGATGCTAACCTATTGAATTTAAAGGACATTAAAAGCCGCGCTGATGCGATTCAGAAAAACCGAACCTATGTAGAGCGCGATCTAACTTTCTTCATTACTTACCTATATCTTTATTCCTTATGTACTTTAAAAAGAACGAAATCACCTCGTATTGTCCACCGTTACACTCAGTCATTAAGATCGACAATTAAGGTGCGCGTTATCGATCGTCATCGAGAATGCGAGGAGAGAAGAGCGAGAACAAACAAAAAATGTTACTGTTTCCATAGACCCTGGTGGGACGATGCAATTGAACTGAACTCACCCGATCTCACTTGACATTTAATTATGCCTCCGATAACAGCCTGGTCTGATAATAGTAAATCCATACCGGAGGAGATATAAGAGAGCGTAAATAAAAATTTGTTATATTTCTACGCTGGGCTCCTTTTCGAGGCAACGTTGATCGATATGAGAATCCCTGTTAACTGGTGAGCACTGTAATCGCCGCATTGTAATATTATTAATATTATTACGTTATTATGAAATTGTTGAAATAAATGAAATGAAAATATATGTTTTCAATTTTCTCCTCTTTTCTTTCGACTATGCACGAATAGTTTATTTGTTGCAATAAGTTCTTATTAGTGATTTCAGAGAGCAACGTTATTCTTCAATGCTTCATTTATGCAGAGTTGCAATTCAGAACATTGACGCTGCAAAGTGCAATCGTGATATCAGTCAAAACAGAAACGTGAAGGTATAAAATTTCATGAGCTTTATTGATGCATTATTTCATTATAAAAAGGAATACTTAACTTTTATGTTAAATTTCTCTTTTACCTACCAACATACAGTAATGCACGAATATATAATCACTATGTTATTTATCATGCATAATAAAGTACAAACTTTTCGATTCAACAATTTTCGGTTTTTTGTTTTATGCGCAAAGAGAACTATAATACATATTCGCTGATACGATCGTCTTTCTTTCCGCAGTAGATAAGACACATATACACGGGCTGAAACGGTATGATGTCGTTTATTGTTATTGTTTGTGTTAAATCGCACCGAATAAAACACACGAAACTTATGACATGAGAGGGATGGAACAAAACGGAATATGCCAGTGTGCTTGGTTTCTAAATTTTAATTATTGTATTTCTTTCCAGGAAGACACGACATGCGCTATCAATAAGTAACGATATTATATAACGGTATTATAAAACATTATCAATAAATCTGGATGTACATAAACTTTTTTTTAACACACTACATTGCAACTTGTTTTAAATATAAAATTTGTAAATAAACATTTTCTTGATCGATTTACAAAAGATGAAAGAAAAATCTACTATTGAGTACATTAAATTTCTTTTAAAAATATCGTAAACCTGTATTTCACGCATCTAAAGTTGCTAAGATTGATGCAAGTAATTATAAACAAGAACAATTTTCCATTCTAGGATTCTGTGACTTCTTATTCTGTCAAGCATTTTCAAGTAAGTCTAAAATTATTTTACTATTTGCTCCAATAAACATAACGATCGATTTATGTTATAACAGATTTAAATGCGTTTGAAGAAACTGTTGCAACATCTGTAACATTAACATTAACATCGTTAAACAGGATAACTATTAAGTGTGCCTTATTATATTAAAAAATTCTGTGAAGCTGATTAATTAACAATTGACATAACCTAAAATAAATCATCATAATTTGACGAATTATAAAACTAAAAAGAAATTTATAAATACAACAGAAATTTATAAATACAAAATTTTCAAATTTAATAGATTGAAGTGATATTGCAGCTGCATAAAATTAGAAAGAAATATGAAAAATAATATTTTCGGTTGTTTCACTACTCGCAACAAAATCCTCGATATCCAACAGTCGACTGCAATTTTCTTCCGAACTGAACGTTCTTTATTAAAGAAGACTTGACTGTTTAACAGTCTCTCTGTACAATATATATGGCAAGCACGGCTATACGACAAGCATGATGTTCTATTAACGCAAGGCGTTCTTGTGACGAAAAATCATGCTTCCTAATATGCGCATAATTATTAACGCAACATATAGCCCTCATATTCTCATCCCGCATTTAATTAAGCATGGTTATTTGTTCTTAATTTAATCATTTTTTTCTCATTAAAATACAATTTAAAAAAAATTATATTTATATACATAAATACCTTCAACAAATAACAATAAATTGATAATATAAAAACTATTTAACTTACTAATTTATAAAGTGAGAGATACTTGTTTATTTAGTTGGAAAAGAAACAACAGCAAAAAGAGGAAATGATGTCTACACATTTTAAATAATGCATTAAGCAATATGTTGTTCTCTTTATACAGATATTTTCGTTTAAATGCGAGACACGAAAGCATGACCTTTTTAGGAAGGCCAAAAAAACAGGTTAAGGTATAATTTTCATTTGCCATTAAAGTACAATTAATTTTCTTGTTAGATAAATCTTTGTATGTACTTCAAAAATTATTGTTAAGGATACCTTGATCTGCATTGGCCTTCCGAGTCTCCTGGAGGTATCGGTACGAACATATCGCTCGTAATTTATAACGTCTCATGCTCGTGTAAAATTCGTTACTACGAGCTCGTATTTGACGAGCGTGTCAAGACCGTCGCAGTTCTATCGATATTTATAATCAATGCCACGACGAGTATCAAATGCGAAATCGACAAAATTACGACGTGACGACTTGCACAATTATTATCAAAATTATTTCAAATTTATATCTAAAACATTATCGCGATTGACTCTGTGTGACCATCCACGTATGGATGAAAGAACGTTTCGATCTTATCTTATGTGGAGACTTATAATCTTTGATATCGAGAATTTGATCGATTTGGTTGAAGCTGATCACTAAAATTATGATCGAGAGATTAAATACAGGACTATTTTTCTTCCACACGTTTAACACTAACGTATATAGACGTCAAACGCGCATATTTGGCGTATAGTTACCTAAAATAGGGAAACTATACTAAATGTATTAATAAATAGTGATAAAATTAAAATCTAGAAAAATTAAATTCTAGAAAAATACGCGACGATTTTACATAATTTTTAATGTTAAACGTGAATTCCTGTAACTCTGACAAGGGGAGAGATTCACATAAGTATTTCACGGATTTTGATCAGCTTTTCCATAATTATTCTGGGGCATCAAAAAATAATCCCTGTAAAGCAATAAATTGCATCTCTGCATATTTTTTGAGAAAATCGTGATTTAGATCACAACGGATCACTTTCAAACCTGAGGGAATCCCATTATCATATTTCCATTAAAAGCGATCCGTCATCGTGACCTAAAATCACAATTTTTTCGAAAAATACACAGAGGTGCAATTTACACAGAGGTGGAATACACAGAGGTGGAATTATTTTTTGCTCTAGAATAATCTTGCAAAAGCTGGTTAAAATCCGAAAAATACTTATGTGAGTCTCTCCTTGTAAGTTACTTTACGATAAACAATATTTTCGTTTTATATACTTTCCTAACTTATTGTTAGACTATTGGATTATTTGTTTTCTAATTAAGAGATATCTAATTAAGATAAGTTGACTAAACTGGGTTTGTGCGTACCATCATTATATTATTATTACAATAATTTTGCCAAAATACTATAAACTAATTCCGTATCCTTCTAGATACGATATGTAATGCTACACAAGCGGATTTCATCGTTTAACATTAATTGTGTTATATAGTAATTACACGATTAAAGAAGCAATCATAAGTATTTCTAATAATACATACAATTACCATACAAAATGTAATAGTGAAATAGTATGTTTTAAGTTAGAAATAAATTAAATTAAATTTTTTTTAAAATTTATCCAATACGTAATTATTAAAATTCTTTGTAATATGAATTCTGAGCAAACTTTTCAAACTTTAAGCAAGTTTCTGATTTAAAAAGTTTTGTAAATAATTAAAGAGAAATGTCTTTGTAGCTAATAAAATATTTTGTTAAAAATTATAAAGTTGGCAATTAATTTTCTACAATATGATTTCTCGCGTTTAAAAATTTTAAAAATACCTATTTCTTCGATAAAATGAAGAATGAGAATCATTCGATAATTGTTTCATAAATCCTTTGTCTAAGCGTGTCGCAATGGAGCTACCGGAAGTTAATGACGGGGAAGACAATAATCGCAGAGGCATCCATGATTAACACTAGTGGAATTATTATCTACATAATGTATGCCATTTCGATCGCTCAAGTTTCGTCATTGAGAGAGCTTACAAATCGGATTCTACAATCTTACAATTACACAAAACCAAAAATATGCGCACAATGGCAGAAGATTGTATCGAGACTTTCGTCAAATAAATTTGTACTTCGCAGGGAATTTCATAAAAATCTGTAGGTATAAAAAATAATTGCATGTTAAACAGCCACTTGAGTTGTAAGCGTTTTACGCTTACTATTGAAATGACAAAATTATTCACTTGGCGTTATGAAGTCGATTTCAAAGAAGTCGACGAAAAAGACGAAATGAGAACGGTCGCGTAATAATGGCTATTATTTGTGATTGCGCTTCGTTGGGGCAAATTGGATTATTTCCCGCGGTAAGTTTCTATTATATAATCCTGGTCCACATACTCGAAAATATGAGGTGCGTCCATTAGGATTCCGACGGTACCCGCAGTCGTCACTATAAAGAATATATAAAGTTGCAGTCGATCGATCACCATTGCGACGTATTTCCAATCTTCCCTTGTCTGAAAAACAGTATTTAGAAAAACAATTATATATTGCTTTAAAGTGTATTATTTATGCGAAAAGATTGCGAGAGTCTTTTACCTGTATATACAAGTCTTCGTTCCTGAGATGCTCCGCTATGAACTCTACAGCCTCGGTAGCCTTGCTGGCTTCGGGGCTGAGCAACACTGAGTCCGAACTTTCGGATCCTCTTCTATCGCCCATGCCTTCCCCTGCTCCAGCACCGCTAGAACTGCTCGTGGTGTGATGAACCTTACGATTAATTTTGCAATTTGGATGGTGCAGATCGGATAGTTCCATCACCTCCATTTTCGATTTTGCCAGAGAGGCTGGCAGATGCTTCGGCACCTCGGTCGGACTTCCCGAGTATGTGGAAGCTGGCAGTGTTACGTTTGGTATCTCCATCATCCATCTGATGAAATAACACCCGTTTATTCCATGTAATTGTCATTTGATAGAAACAAATTGAAATGACAATGCTTCGGCAGCACAATTTAAATCTATATTATTTATATATATTGGGTATGGGAAAAAGTTTGTGGCGATTTTTTAGTAAAATTAAAGTGTTTTTCTTAGAGTATTTCAATTTATTTAAACCAAATATGCTCCATTATTTTTTATAATATTTTGCCATTTTTGAGACAGAGCCATAATTCCATCGCGATAGAACTTCTGTGATTTCTGATCGAAAAACTGCTTCAAGTGATTTTCACAGGCCTCTTTTGAAGCTAGCTTTACACCATTAAGAGAGTTCTGCAGAGACTAAACAAATGATAGTCTGAGGGTGCTATGTCAGGATTATACGTCCTGTGGATGCATTAAAACTTCCCAGCCAAGCTCTCGCAATTTTGGCCGAGTCATCAAAGATGTGTGTGATCGAGCGTTGTCGTGATGGAAGACGACATCTCTCCTATTGATTCTAGCCACTTCCTCTCAATTGCTTGTTGTAATCTTTGCAGTTGTTCACAGTAGAGTTCGGAATTAATTGTTTGATTAGACGATAACAGCTCACAGTGAATGATTCCCTTTCAGTCTCACCACACACACAACATCATCTTTTTCCTCATCAATCCAGGTTTTGCGATTGCTTGCGTTCTCTCCTTTCTTTATCCATGATTTTCTAATTGAATTGTCGTAGGTGATCCATTTTTCATCATCAGTTATCATTCTCTTCAGAAATGACTCAATTTCATTCCGTTTCAGTAGCGTATCACAAATGTTAATTCGGTCCATCATGTTCCTAACACTCAATTCGTGAGGAACCCAAACATCGAGCTTCTTTTTGTATCCAACTTATGTAAATGATTTAAAACTGTTTTGTGGACGATGCCTAGTTCCCTGGCAATCTCCACAGTGCTCACATGCTTATCATGCTCGACTTTTACCATGATTTCATCGGACTTTTCAGTGATTGGTCGACCAGAGCAAGGTTCATCTTTCACATCGAAATTTCCAGCACGAAAGCGAGCAAACCATTTCCATGCTGCTGATTTTGATAGAGTATCTTCACCGCAAATTTTTTCACAAGCCTGTGCAGCATTCTTGCCTTTATGGTAGTGATACTGCAAAATGTAGCAAATGAAATTTTTTTCCTTATTTATTTCCATTTTCGAAATAAAATAACTTTTGATCCACTTCACTGATTTCAATCTTTTTCGGCTCAAAACAAAGGTTAAAATGTCACTTTTTAAACACACGTCTAGTGTTGCCGATGCGATTAGTAGTTGCCAACTGCTGAGCATTTAATGCCATCTAGTGGGAAAAACGCCACGAACTTTTTCCTATACAATATATATATATATA